TCAGTTAGTGATTCATATAGACAAGCAAAGACCATAGAGTCGAAAGATATATAGTTTTATACATTTTCCTTACTTAGAATTCGAAAAACTTCAATGCAATCTAGGCGCAATGAGACCAAAGTACGAACTATTACACTAACGATGTAAAATAAAAATACCGTGCTAAAAATTCGTCCAAAATAAATAACTCATATACTAATTGAAAGATGAAACCTTAATCTATGTACTCCTGAAAAGAAAATTGGAATATCTTTCCTCGTTTTGTCAGCAACGTCCTTCAAAGCTAACACTGCGCAGGTCGGTGGCATACGATTATTTAAAGGGTCGGTGCAGCACACGGATGTCGGTGCGGAAGGGTTAAGTACATGTACTGTGCATGAAAAAAAAAGCAATTGTTTAGGCACTGGTCATATGTGGGAGGATAACACTAAAATATGCTTCAGAAGGGCATGTTGTGAAGCTGTGAATCAAGCTGAATTTACTCAGGATAGGATTTAGTGGTGGGCTTCTTACTCCATAAAATTGACAAAGAGAATTAATACCAACTGCTCACAGAAGACTCTGTACCTTGAAATGTTATACCACTGTATATCATGAAGGATTGCAATTACCTTCAGAGAAGCATACACCTACCCCTGAGTTCTGGGATCCTCCCACTGAGTGGTTCTGTTCTTGTGGTTGACAAAATACACCCGGCCATCAGGCTGAACACGTTTCTCCCAGCCTGCTGGCAGAGCACCCAGTGAGTCCTCCTCTTGCTCTGGTACAGGTGCTGTTGAAGCAGAGTGCTGCAAGTACAACAGTCTCTTACAGCATGGATAATGATTATGCGGATACCATATCAACCACACAGACACACTGAATAAGTTGACTGAGTACTGTTTCTGAGTTGTATTTGGGAGGTGCCCAGTTTGAATCTTGGTTGGAACACTGTCTATACTAACTAACAATTTTTAACCCGTTGCCGTGGTTCGTCGTGTATGTTTCGTCAGGGATTTAAATCGTCTGGGGGGGTTCGACGTGTATGTTTCGTTCAGCTGCACACCTATGTTATAACGCCCATAATAATTGATGGTTTTGCTGTAGATTGTTAGATTTTTCGCTGGCCTGTTGTCAGTAGAACAGAGTATAAATAAGA